AGATGCGGATGATTTCAAGAAGAAACTACACAAATTCAGCATTGCAAACAAATTTGAGTATAAATATGTGAAGAATTCTAATGCCCATATGTATGTCAAATGCAATGTTGAAGGTTGTCCATGGAGGATCAGTGCAAGAGCAGCTGTAAAGAGTACTCCAGCATTTTTACGTGTAACGACATTCAAAAATGAGCATGTTCATAATGCCCAAGACAATCTTCATGTGACACATGGTAGATCAGCTAGCTTGACATCATCAATTATAATTGAAGAGGTTAGGGATCATATAGACATGCGTCCAAATGATATAAAAAAGAGGTTGGAAAGAGATTATGGTGTGAAGTTGACATATAAGCAAGCATACAGGGCCAAGGAAAAAGCGTTGGAGGACATACATGGCAGACCTGATCATTCTTACATGCTTATTCCATGGATATGTGACCGGTTGAAGGAAACCGATGACAAAACAGTGGCAAAATGGGTGGCTGCAAGGAACAACAGATTTGAGCGTGTATTCATAGCCTATGGGTGTTGTATAGAGGGTTTTATTGCTGGTGCTAGACATGTACTGTATATTGATGGAAGTCATTTAAGTGGACCGTATAAGGGGACACTACTTTCAGCGTCGGCTTATGATGCGGACAACGAATTATTACCTTTTGCCATTGCGATTGTGAAGGGAGAGACGCTTGAGGATTGGACATGGTTCTTACATATGATCAAGGAGATAATTGGGTCAATGCAATTAACAATCATTTCAGACCGACACAATGCAATTATAGGTGCTGTGCAAGCAATATTCGGAGGTGAGCGACATGCGTACTGTTACAGACATGTTAAGGAGAATTTCAGTACACAAATGATCAAGTTAAATAGAGGAAGAAGGAAGACAAGTGGCAACACAAGGGAGGATGGACTGCATTTCCTAGATGCCATTGCATATGCAAGGCTTGACACAGAGTTTGATCAAGCAATGGATAACATGAGACACTTCAATTCCCAATTATTTGAATGGCTTGTCAATCATGGTGATATTCACAAGTGGGCCTTAAGCAAGTTCCCTTTTAAACGATGGGACAACATAACAACAAACCTTGCAGAGTCATTCAATGCGTGGATGCTGAAGGAGAGAAGATATAATGTTGCCCAACTTATACATGAGCATCGTGAAAAAGTAGCCAAGAAGATGTATGCAGCAAGCATGGCAATGAGCAAATGGAAGAATGGTGTAGGCCCAAATACAAATGCAACATTGATGGAAAATGTGGCGAGATCTGCACAGATGTTAAGTGTTCCTTACGGAAGGGGTAGGGTGTGTGTCCATACAGCAAAAGGAGCCATTAATGTTGATCTTGGAAAAGGTGAATGTAGTTGTGCAGCTTGGCAAATGTCAGGCATCCCATGCCCACATGCATGTGCAGCTATCAAGGCCTTGAATTGCAATGTGTATGATTTTGTTGAAGAATGCTACAAGATTACGTCCCAACAAAAGATTTATGGTAGGACGATGACTCCAGTGGTGACAATCGACATGCCAAATCCTAATAACTATCGGCTGCAAGATATAGCAAGTCAAGTGTTTTTGGCACCACCTTTGACTAGTCGACCACCTGGAAGGCCTAGGATAAATAGGCAAGAGTCGCAGTTTCAAAACAAGAAGGTCTACCATTGTAGTGCATGCCAGCAAGTTGGCCACACAAGAAGAACATGCAAGAATCCAAACCCAACTTAAGGTTTCATGTCAATACCAACAGGGGTAATTTTTTTGTTATAGGAAAGGAATGACTCTTGAACCCTTTTTAATTTTTTTGGGAGAAGGGTTGATAGGTAGGCTATCTTTTTTGTTAATGATGTTAACTGGGTAGGAGATGTTCTGTAATCTGAATGACAAGAAAACATTAGGCGGTAGGTTAATCCTAATGTTAACTTGTCATTTGGATATCAGTTATGTAGCTTCTGTCATGGGCCTACTGGTTTTTAGTAAATATCATTACGTCAGTGGTCAATTCCATTACAGATATAGTAAAGTCTGAATGTTAATGTAAAAATCGTATGATGGGTAGGCTATCCTTTTTGTAAATGATATTCACTGGGTAGGATATGTTTTGTAATGTGAATGGGGACGAAACATTAGGTAGTGGGTTAATCTTACTGTTAACTTGTCATTTGAATATAAGTTATGTACCTTCTGTGATGGGCCTACTGGTTTTTGGTAAATATTGTCACTTCAGTGGTAAATTCAATTACACATGTAGTAAAGTCTAAATGTTAATGCAGACATCCTATGATGCTCTTTTGGTGTACTTCTATGCTATTTTGGCAACACAGATGACCTTTTGTTTAATGCCCTCAAGGGAGATGGTGGAAGTTGCCAATGGGTATGACTGGAGTGGTTAATGTCATCAACGATGTTGTTATTCACATTACCAATGTTGTTATTATCATTTCCAGGCTAGTGAAACTCCCTGAAAATATGTTACTTGACTTTGAAATAAAGGAAGTGGAAGTGGAAAAAGCAGAGTGGTAAATATCATCACTAAAGTTGCAATTAAAATTACCCATGTTGTCATTATCATTACGGGGGTAGTAAAATTTCCTGAACAATTTGATGCGTGGGTTTGACTTAAAGGAACCGGAAATGGGAAAAGCAGACCGGTAAATGTCATAACTGAAGTTGCAATTAACATTTCCAATGTTGTCATTATCATTACGGGGGTAGTACAATTTCCTGAACAATTTGATGCGTGAGTTTGACTTAAAGGAACCGGAAATGGGAAAAGCAGAGTGGTAAATGTCATAACGGAAGTTGCAATTAACATTTCCAATGTTGTCATTATCATTACGGGGGTAGTACAATTTCCTGAAGAATTTGATGCGTGGGTTTGACTTAAAGGAACCGGAAATGGGAAAAGCAGAGTGGTAAATGTCATAACGGAAGTTGCAATTAACATTTCCAATGTTGTCATTATCATTACGGGGGTAGTACAATTTCCTGAACAATTTGATGCGTGGGTCTCAGTTAAGGGAACCGGAAATGGAAAAGCAGACCGGTAAATGTCATTACTCAAGTTGCAATTAACATTACCCATGTTGTCATTATCATTACGGGGGTAGTACAATTTCCTGAACAATTTGATGCGTGAGTTTGACTTAAAGGAACCGGAAATGGGAAAAGCAGAGTGGTAAATGTCATAACGGAAGTTGCAATTAACATTTCCAATGTTGTCATTATCATTACGGGGGTAGTACAATTTCCTGAACAATTTGATGCGTGGGTTTGTTAAAGGAACCGGAAATGGGAAAAGCAGACCGGTAAATGTCATTACTCAAGTTGCAATTAACATTACCAATGTTGTCATTATCATTACGGGGGTAGTACAATTTCCTGAACAATTTGATGCGTGGGTCTCAGTTAAGGGAACCGGAAATGGGAAAAGCAGACCGGTAAATGTCATTACTCAAGTTGCAATTAACATTACCAATGTTGTCATTATCATTACGGGGGTAGTACAATTTCCTGAACAATTTGATGCGTGGGTCTCAGTTAAGGGAACCGGAAATGGAAAAGCAGACCGGTAAATGTCATTACTCAAGTTGCAATTAACATTACCCATGTTGTCATTATCATTACGGGGGTAGTACAATTTCCTGAACAATTTGATGCGTGGGTCTCAGTTAAGGGAACCGGAAATGGGAAAAGCAGACCGGTAAATGTCATTACTCAAGTTGCAATTAACATTACCCATGTTGTCATTATCATTACGGGGGTAGTACAATTTCCTGAACAATTTGATGCGTGGGTCTCAGTTAAGGGAACCGGAAATGGGAAAAGCAGACCGGTAAATGTCATTACTCAAGTTGCAATTAACATTACCCATGTTGTCATTATCATTACGGGGGTAGTACAATTTCCTGAACAATTTGATGCGTGGGTCTCAGTTAAGGGAACCGCAAATGGGAAAAGCAGACCGGTAAATGTCGTTACTCAAGTTGCAATTAAAATTACCCATGTTGTCATTATCATTACGGGGGTAGTCAAATTTCCTGAACAATTTGATGCGTGGGATTGACTTAAAGGAACCGGAAATGGGACAATTTCCTAAACATGGGGATGCATGGATGCAAATGGGGAAACCATAGTGGTAAATGTCATTACTATAGTTGCAATTTCCCTTAACAATGTTGTGATTTTCATTACCCAGGTTGTGAAATTCTGACAATTTATACGTGGGGACGAAAATGCAGTTGCAAAAAGGAATAGCGAGGTGGTAACAATCATTAAAAAAGTTGTAATTTTCATTACCAATGTTGTCATTCTAGCGAAAATGGATTCAAAAAAAGTGATTTGGGCTTGAAAGACTTCACATGCAAATGGCAACAGCGATGTCGTAACTATCATTACAGAGGTTGCAATTCTCAATCCGAAAGTTGTTAATCCTATTACTTGTGTAGTTAACCTGGGTCCAAGTGGATGTAATTTGGGGCACAAATAATCAACTTGTGATTATCATCACGGAAGTCACATGGCATGCTGTAAATTTCATAACTCTTTTACTCAAATTATCCCAAAAAGGATTGCAATTAGGCCAACAACTGGCAGCCACTTAGACTTCAAACTACATAAGACTTCAAATATTAAGACTTCAAACTAACACTCCTTTTACAAATACTATATGCCTAATCTACATAATGTCTCCTCCTATCACAGATGGCGTCTTTTGGTCAGTGTGGTGGCTTGGGTTGATGAAAGCAAGCTTAATGCTTCATCACGTCTTGAATTAAGCTCATGATTCACTAGCCACCACATGAGGTTTCGTCGGAATTCAGCCACTTGTTCATCCGTATAGTGAAGTATCTCACCGGGCTTCCATTTACTCAACCATATTAATACATGAACACCGCAGTCTCGCCTGCACATCAAAACATACCAACGATGTAAAAGAATGAAAATAACACATTGGGCTACTTTGAGACGTAATAATATCAACAACATAAACCACTCACAGATTGTTCTGTTGCGGAACAGGAGCCCAAATGATATCACTCATTTTCTTCTTCCCAGTGGCATTAGGCTTAACTATCTCAATAATGTCATAAAATCTATTCCTCTGCACAATATCATTACGCAATTGTAAATAAAAGGTAAATGAAATGTCAATCATAGAAGATGAGTTGCATTATCCTTACACATTCAGTGACGACGGTCGTCATGTCATCAATAATTACACCCTTCTTCTTGCTCTTCTTCTTACCCTCTAAATTTGGCTTCATTGAGTCCAGCACATAGAAATTCATTGTGCTAGGCTCAAGCACAACACAGAACCAGTGAGCGCCAACAAGTGTGGGTCCAAAGATCAAATCACATTCTCCTATGTTGTAGCCTACATTTTCAGGTAAAAATTGTTTCTTCCGTTTTGTAGCATCCCACAGCTTTGGGTTAGCTGCCATTATTGCCTGAAACATGAACATTTTAGTCATTTATCAATATCAATCGACAAAAAACTAACATCTCAGCAAGCTTACCATAAAATCAGCATAAAAATGTGCCGCTTCACCTGCCCTTCCTTCTCCATATCAGCCATTAGAGTCTTGCACACAGTTGACATCAGCTGTACGCAAAGAGATTATTGTTTTGATGAACCCAAAATGCAGCATCTACTAAACAATTAAATGACCTCATCACAAATATTCTACTTACCCGGTTACCTATTTTCTCAATTCCGCCAAGTGTCCTTAGCTGATCCCGAGTGATATCTTCATCAGAGATTTTCACCAAAGGCCTAAAAATATGTTGTCAATATCATTATGCATATAGTCAATTACCACAAAATTGTAATGAATATGATTACGTGGGTAGTGGATATGTACATACATGTCACCCTCCTTGCTTGAACACATACGGGAAACTATGTCATAAAACCGGTCCTTGTCATCCATGGGCCTCTTTCGCCTCTTAGTTGGCTTTGTCAAAATCCATGGAGAATTGATAGCGGATTTCATCTCCCTTTGCGATCTCCGGAGTTGACATCCCTTGTCCATGGGGGACAAAGGCAGGGGAGACTCCATAATTTCTTTGTCTGCACCTTCTGCTGCAACACCAATGTCATCACCCCTATCCGAGCCAGTTGCATCATCGTCTCCTGACCATCTCCCCCGTGGAACTCATCTCTATCATCACCTTCGTCATCAGACTCATGTCCATCATGATCATGGGAGTCTTCATCGCCAAATGCATCATCATCTCCCTTATCATCATCTGGGACGTCAATAGGGTCCTCATCATCTGTGGTCACATTATTTTCCTCTATCCTTATCTGCACCTTATCTAGCTCATCTTCCATTGCACTTATAAGCCTCATAGTGCTTAATTCGATCTGAGCCATCAATCGTCCGTGCAACTTCTGTAACTCCTGCAGCAAACAATTTAAAATGAGTAAACACTTTTTTCATGAGATTATTTGCTAATGAGAATGAAAATTAGTAATGAAAGCACATACCGGGTGTAAATGAGCCACACTTCTGCGTTTTCCTTCATCCTTCCCACTTCTATCCATACTCCCCTTGCCCTTATACAGTAAACCCCTCTTGCTTTCCCTCTCCTTCTTTTCCAGCTTCCTTATCCTCTCATCAGTCCAGAATTGAATGGCATTTAGGGACCCTCTCTCAACAGTTTTGGATAGTGGGAAGTGCTCAGCAAAATATAACTACAATAGTAAATCATTAACTTGCCAATTCCACAAATAAAGAAAACAATAACTTAGAAGCATAAGTCAGAAATACATACCAACAGGAGGTAGATGCATCCTCCCACATTGCAGCTTCCTTCATCTTCATCTTCGTCTTTCTTTGCTTTTGTGTACACTTTCACATAATCTCCCATCTCTTTCCACAAGTGCTTCACAATGTACGTGGCCCAATCAAATTGGTGAAATCCCTTCATGGTACAGCACATGACTCTTATTAGCTTGTCACTCACAGTTGTTTGTGAAGTAGGAGTTAAAAAACTCCCAAGTGTGTACAGCATAAACAGGAACTCAAACTCATCTTTCTTCTGCCCAGATTTAATGTCATTGAGTATCTTCGTATAAGGGACTTTACCAAATTCCTCCTTCAACTCTGGTATGTCTCATCATCATCACATACGTCCATTTTTACCTTCTCCCCTGTGTGGGGTACACCCAACAAGTTTGCAACATCATTTGCTTCTATTTCCTTTATTATCCCTCTTATTAGAAATTGATGGGTAGGCGGATCATATGCTCGGAGAACACATACTATGAGGTCACGAGGGAGTCTCTCACATCCAATGTCAAGTAAATGGCCAAAGCCTAAATTTTGTACCCTCACTTTCAAATCTTCATCATCTTTTATGAAGTCCACTAATGACTTAAATTGCCGAACCGAGCAACGAGTGCTAAAAGCCACTTTTTTCTTCCTCTTCTTCTTCATCCCTTCCTTTCTTGATTGCTTCACCCTATCACTGTATTTCTTCTGCTCCTCTGGTGTCAACTGCTTCCATGCCTTTGATGCCTTTTTCGCTTGTTCAGACATATTCTTAAACTTCTCCCCACCCTTAAGAAATTCTCGTCTAAACAACATGTAGCCATTCTTCACTTCTTCACTTGGCCCTCCTTCTACAACAAGCATAAATAACTAAATCTGGTCAGTTGAACAGCTCAACTTTCTTTGCATTTCAAAAAAGTTGTCACTACCATTTCCAGTGTAGTCATTCACATTATAGGTGTTGTTATTTAGCCACAAAATGAACCTCGACTATTTACTACTCATATAACTAAATTTGCTGATCACGTAATGAATGTTATTGCTTCTTTCTCACTTCACAGAACAGAGCAGAAAATAGAGACTAATGACATAATACACTTAACAACAAACTAAAAACAATCTAACTTACCAAACCTATATAACTCAACCACTTAATTCCTATTACAACTGCATATTACCGTTTGTCGCAGTCACAGTTACTTCGCCAACCTCCTCCATGACAGCAATGCGATTGATGCTTCTCAGCACTTCAGCGACCTCTACCTCTTCAATCCTCAAACCAGCAGATTAATCTCTACCTCTTCAATCCTCAGACCAACAGATTCAAAAATAAATGAATATGCATTAAAAGTGATTCTTTCTCGATGAAATGTTACAAAATTTGTATCTTCAAGTAACTTATATTATGGAAATTACTATACACAGTGCCACAGATGACCAAGTAAATTATACCAATACATAAGAAGGCCACAAAGGTTATTCTCACTTGGTACATACTGAAATGAATATGCATGTTCATCCCCAGGTAAATTGCACCGCTAAATGACTGAGGTTATGCCCATTAGGTAGCTATATCTTCAAAACAGAGTTCTACCCACGAAAAGTCACCCCTTTCAATTTATTTTACAATGTTAAATTTGCATAACCAATATGGGGATACAGTTGAACTCATTTTAGTCCCATACACAATGCTAAAAATGTGCAATGCCCATTACACGAACAGACCAAACAAGGGGGCGGAAACAGGAAGCATCCTGCCTCATGTGCGACAGTGGTCTCAATTTATGGGCATCTAAAAAGTAGTGTAGCAATCATAAACACACACGTATATTATGCCTTCCAACATTACAGCAACACAGCAATCAGACAACAACAATCAGAGAGATATCTCGTCAAACATGGACCGAGTTATATGAATCAGAGCAAGCAAGCAACTTCTGTAATTCCGTCACACACAGAAGCACCGACTTTTAATCTAATCTACCTTTACATTCCATTTTAAGCCTTTACCATTGCTTCCCCTTTACAACCAACATTCACCGTTTTCCCCAAATTAAAACACTCCAATCAGACAAGCACAAGACGGAGACATTTGGGTGGCTTACCGGGGTCCGAACGAATATCGACTTCTTCCTCAACCGGTGACGACCTTACAGGTGCTCTCCCTCGAAATCTCTCTCTCTAGCCACCCCCTCTCCCTTCTGAAGATTGAAGCTTCTCACTGGTTTATTGCTTCTCACTACGACCCACGGAAAAGACGAAGAAGCCGGACGCTATTCACATTCCTCGTTCACAGTTCCTCAACCATGCCAATGTGAGACTTGCGACAACCATATGCAGTTTCGCCGAGTGCAATGTGAGAGTTCGGAGAACCCTATGGTCTATGCAGTTTCGCCGAGTGGAGAACCGCCAACCAAACTCCAGTTCCGTTGCACAATATCCCGCCCTCTGATTCCCGAAAAAATTAAGGGCATTTCAGTCTTTTGGCGAATTACTCAAATTCCAGATTGATACCCCATACCCATTTTGTCATTTCAGTAATTTACATGCCCATTTTGTCATTTTAGAATTCAACAGTCATTTTCTTGTCATTTCCCTTTAAAATATTAGGTGCTATTAAAAAAATATTTTAGGTTGTTGAACTTATTGAAAAATATTTTGAGATATTGAGTCTTATTAAAAAAATAATTTATGTTCGATGCTACCTAAACCAAGTTTTTACTCATTTAATTATTTTTAAATTTTTCCTGATTTTATAAAAACTTAAACCTAAACTGATATTATTTTATTAATAAATTACTTACTACCTCCTGTCTTTAATATAAGACATCGTTTGACTTTTATTTTAATCTTAAATATAAGATTCCAATTCACTTTGTCTCTCATATTTATATATTTTTTCTCAAGATAGTCTTTCTAATAATAATAGTTCTAGTCAATACACTTAATTAGTAAGAATATTTTAGAAAAGATAATACTTATTTATTATAAATAACTAACTTAATTTTTTAATCTCTTTAAATTAGTCAACTAATTCTTATAAATACGGAAGAGGTAATATTAGCCTTATCTTGGTGCTCCTCCTCTGCTCATTTCATCCGTTCGCGCTCTCTCTCTCTCTTCATTGAGCACGGTGTCGTTTTGTGGGCAGCAGGCGGGCAGCGGATGAGAGAGTAGTGCAGTATGTTTGGATGACATCCAAAACCATGGTTTGATAAAATGCTATCCAAACAACCTTCAATATTTTGAAACTATGGTTTCAGATGAAACCATGGTTTTAACCTCTAAAACCCTGGTTCTGTGGAAAGCAAAATTATCTTGCTTCTGGTGCTGAAGTTTTCGCTGTTGGGTTGTCAGAAATTATTTGGACAAAAAATGCCCCTTGACTCGCTTGCGTTGCTGGCGTGGAGAAATGGTCTACGGTCATTTGGTCCTGACGCAGCAAGAGAGTGAGCCTGAAAGAATCATAAAGCAGAAAAGATAATTACTATAATAAGTAATAAATTGTTTTAATGTGTGCTTATTTATTTTGTCAAAAAATATCATGATATTTCATATTTATAATCTTTAAAATAAAATAATATTTTTCTGTTGGTAAAAAATATTTATTTTTTCCAGAAACATTTTTAATCTTATATTTTATAAATATATATACACATGTTAATTATTTATTAATTATGTTTTCTTATATACTATTAATTATGTTGGTAAAAAAATATATTATTAACAATTTTGTTCCTTCAAATTAAAATATATTATAAAATCTATATTTTATGTAATTATCATATTAACTTATGCCCTTTTTAATAATTTGCACATATAAAAAGTACTTCTGATAATAACTATCCAAACACTCTCACTTCTCAGAATCACTTTTTCATAAAATCTATTCTTTACAAAATCTATTCTCCAAACCATGGTTTGGTTTTATCCAAACACTCCCTGAATCCCATTGGATTTGAAGTGGGAATTCCTAAACCCTTTATCCCAATGACTTAGGGGGTGTTTGGGTGATAACCCAAACCATGGTTTGGGGAAAAAACACCTAAACACCCTTAAAAAAACCAAAACCATGGTTTTGGTTTTGGAAAAAGCAAAAATTTTTTGCTTTTGGAAAAAAAAAAGGGAGAGTGTGAGAGCCTATAGGATATGTATCTTGTTGTTTTTTTTATAAACATATTTTTTTATAAATATATTTAATCTTATATCTTATAAATATATATACATATTAATTATTTATTAATTATATTATCCTATGTATTATTAATTATGTTAATAAAAAATATATTATTAACAATTTTATTCCTTCAAATTAAAATATATCATAAAATATATTTTTCTGTAATTATCATATTAACTTATGCCTTTTTTAGTAATTTGTACATGTAAAAAGCGCTTCTGGTAACAACTATTCAAACACTCTCACTTCTCAGAATCACTTTTTCACAAAATCTATTCTTCAAAAAATCTATTCTCTCCAGAATCTATTCTCCAAAAGCTATTCTCCAAACTATGGTTTGGTTATATCCAAACATCCCTTTAAGATAATAAATGCCACCGGCACTATACGCCCCCTGCCACTAGTGCACTACCGTCTACCATCGATATGAGATATTCTCCCCTTATCACTACTGGAGTGGAGTCGTTACTGTGGGCCATGCCAATACCTCCATGTCCATCTTATCATTGTCGTTTCCACTACCGTAATATCATCAACTTCGTCAACATCATTTCACGGGTGCCAAAAATCTAAGGCCATCTCTTATTTAAGATAAGAGTTAGTTAAAAATTCAATTTAATTTTGATATGAAACATTAGTTCATTTTGTCTGTAACATTTATCCATTTTACTTATGATGATTACACATGATAGGGACTCTCTATTGAGAGATAGTTTTAATACACGTAATTAATAAAGATATTTTATAAAAAAAATAATATCCACGTGTTATAAATAACTAATTTAATTATTTTTTTAATATCTGTAAATTAGTTGTCTAGTTTTTATATTAAGGACAAGAAGTAGTGTATATATATTCATCATATTACAAAATTATGCTCTTCACTCTTAGATATATGATTTTGATTCACTTTATTTTTCCCTTTTAGTTTTTTTTTTGGTATAATAGAAGGAATATGAGTTACAAATTAACAGCCGGAAAATTGTAAATCATGGAAAATTGGTATTAAATTACTAAATGTGACAAAATTTGACAGGAAAAATTAAAAAAAAAAGACTATTGAATTTTAAAATTTCAAATCAGAAATTACTACAAAAATGTGTTCTTATTTATTTTTTGAGTGTAGTCATTTTCTTTACAATTGTAGTAACTAATACTGATTTAAAATTTTAAAATTCAACAATCATTTTTTTGGGGGATTTTTCTAATTTGATATGTTAAGTTATCATTTTTTTTCATTAAAGAAAAAAAAGGAAGAATAAGTAGTGTTTGAAGTATTAGCTTTGCAAATTGCAAATAAGAAAAATTAGTATTAAAATATGGAAAGTTGTAGAAATTTTTGACAAGAGAAATTTTGATTTTTCATTATAAAAAGTTGTAGAAGATGAATTGCAAGTTAATGTTTAGCAAGTTGTAAATTAAGAAAAAAAATTAATCTAATTAAATTAGTTAAGTAGGTCTTAATTGAGAATTAAAAGAGTATTTGATTTTTGAGGGTAAGATTTATGTTTTCAATCTAAGATTATTTTTTATAATGATTTGAATATTATGGCAAGAACAAGAATTTTCAGTTCGCAACAATATTTTTTTCTACTTATAGAAAGAAAACCACATTTCATATGAAGAAAATTAGTTGAAATTGGATAGCGATGTAATTTCCGGAGATGGATTGATTCGATTTGGTTTTGTTTTTGTTTGAAATGAACGTCAACCAAACTTAATAGCCTTGTGACTTAGTATTAGCTCTTTTATAAGTAAAAAGTGATGGGTTTGATCTCACTTAACTAGCTTGTAACCTCAACGTATTAGTGCTCTTAGGTGAAACTTGGAGACTGGACATATGTCAGGTTAGATTGAACTAGTATAAATTATTATGTATATTTTTTTCCTATTATTTCCTCAAGTGATAGGTAATATCTTCTCTGCTTTATCCTGCTTATATTAATTAGGTTTGATTATTTTATCAGTTGTAAAATTTTTATAATACTCAATTCATCCTTTTCTTGGTTGTTCGATCATACTAACAAAGTGCACCAGAAAACTATGTCCATTACCAAGTGTCAGTTTTGCGTAATATTCGCTCAACGTCGTCTTGTGCCTTGGTTGAATTTTAAATGAAAAATTATTAATGATTGCCAGATATAATATTATACTCCTCCGGTTCTAAATATAAAATCTATTTTGTAGTATAATTTATACTACAAAATGGGTTTTATATTTAGGACCAGAAGAATACTACCTCCTACCCTTAATATAAGAAATTATTTGACTTTTATTTTAGTCTTAAATATAAGATCCAGGTCTATTTTATCTTTCATATTTATTTCTACGGGAGGGAGCAGTAATTGTAATGGGCATTATGCTTAAGTAAACATTTGGATTCTTGGTGGAAATAGTTTTCAATGAATATATCTTTATTGAATCCTGATTAATAATAATAAACTCAATGCAAGCTTATCCTCAAAAAGCTGGAGTTTGAAGATTGACTTGTACTATCACACTCTCTTTGAAGATTGATGCTTATCTATTTCACTCTATATGCTATACAACATCTCCAGTTGGTGAATTTCTTAAACAAATAGAAAATCATTCCTTTTTCTAACTACCTCCAGTCTTTAATATAATTTTTTTTAATTTTTATTTTATTCTTAAATATAAAATACTAATCTATTTTGCTTTTCATATTATATAAAAATAGTCTTTATAATAATAGTAAATCTAGTCAATACACTTGATTAGTAAGGATATTTAAGAAAGAGAATACATATTTATTACAAATAACTAACTTAACCATTTTCTTTAATCTACTCAAATTAATCAATTAACTCTTATATTAAGGATAGGAGGTAGTATTAAATTGAAATTTGACAGAACTACACACTACACTTGATCTTAGCCAAAAGGCCAAGAAGAATGTCATTATACCAAGATCTTTCTCCACCCATTCCTTCTACAATACTGATGTTTTATTTATTCCCTGTTCCTCTCTGAAACTCCTACAGCAACTTTATTTGTATAACTTATTTTAATTTTTACAACAACTCATTCATTGATTTTCTTCTTCCATAATTAGAGATTTATTTGATAGTACTTGTATTTTAAAACATTAA